GAACATAGTAGGCATAAGGACAATCATTTAAAAATAACCGATCTTTCCGTTTCTTTCTTCTAGGTGCGCATGTTTTTCATTAGTTTGGTCTGGGCTGTGGGCTGGGATTATATTTTGGGATGGGTTAATGGGGAATAAATTTTGGAGTGAGTTGATATAATATTACTTGTAAAATTTCTATTTTTTTAGGCTCTTAAACAATTGGGTTTCTGCGAGTGGGCTATGCTTTGAGGGAGAAAATATTTTTTGGGGGGGTTCAAAATTTTTCTTGGGGGTTCAAAATTTTTCCTGGGTCTGTACTACGGTCCGCCCCTGAGCTAAGTGCTAAGGAACAGAAATAATGAAATCACCCCTGCGGCTGCTGCTTGTTTGTATGCTAAAAAAATGAAACTGATCTGGTGCGGCTGCTCGTTCCTGGAAAAACCCCAGCTCCTCCCTTTTTTCTCTTTTGGGCTTCTAGTCTCTTTTTTTTTTCTTTTGCTGGACTGGTGTGCCAAATTAATCTTTCAAGAGCTCTCAAACGATCCGGCTCAAACAATTCACCATGAATTTGGCCTATATTAATCACTCACCACAACCGCTAATCATAAGCATTTTTACAATCAAATTACTCCAAAAATGTCAAATTGTGTGTAGAAAAATACTACACTGAATATAAATGCCACCGGGGCTGAAAAATAACAGATTTCCACTCAAAACCCCCAATAATCGCCCGATTAATTATAAAAATTAGACAAATAACACCCAAAATATGGGTGAAAAGATAGGGACGGAATGAATCTATCAAAGTTCAAAATGTAACTTGTCTAATACGGACAATAATAAATAAAATATTGATTTCAATGAAAACAATAAATGTAGGAGTACCCAATAATAATACAGATGTAACCTTACTATGGAGTACATTTTTTTGTGCTCATTTTTTGCCACCATGGGTTTGGTTGTTAAATGTAGGAGGTTGTACAATGTTACCCTAACAATGTTGTACAATGTCCAAGAATGTACTCCCAAATATTACCTGAATTGGTATGCCTTTTTGTTTTTGTGGCAAACACTTATTGTTTATGGTGTTAATATATATGGGGGATGCTTTTGCCTGTGAAGAAGAAAAATCTTGTTTGTGCTGTAATACGACTTTATCTGTGATTTGTGTCGTAGTTGTCTGTGCTATGTATCCTCTCTTACATCCACTTAAAATATTTTTAATAACTACTTTATGTAATTTAATACCTAACACTTTTATTACTTTGATTACCACTGGAGACCATGTGTAATTTTGAGGTGATCAATAAGTTTACAGATTATTAGTTTAATCTTAAAAACTTTAATTGTTTATTTTAGTAACTACTCCGTAATTGTTTAAAAACTACTAGTATATGTAATCCATTGTCTATTGCGCGTCTGTGAAGAAGAAAAAATTTACGTATGGTGTAATACCATTTTGTCTGTCATTTGAGTTGTATTTGTCTGTGCTATGTATCCTTTTTTGTATAGTTTGAAAAAGTAGACATTTTGAAAAAGAAATATGTTTCACAAAATATGAAGCAAGACATTAATAATTGCCCAGAAACACGTTTTGTGTCTGTGAAGACCAAAGACTTTGTTTGTGCCTTAATACTAAAATGTCTGTGAAAATACATGCATGCACATTTACATCAAACTAAGATTTAAATCCATCATCATGCTCAGTGGTCGCTTGTAGGGTACTTCCATTGTTATTCCTAGCCCTTAATTTCTACTTCCCCTTCTCCAATGGTCCTTTTGGATGATTTTTCCTCGGTGCACCTTGCGCTTTGCACACTAAGGATCTCCAATGATTTTTGGAATCTCACCTTGCACACGACTACTCAGTTGTGGGATAGATGTTAGGTTGCCAACATCCGGAGTTTTTATAGAACCAACGTCGATGTAGGAGGTTGTACAATGTTATAGTAAGAGTGTTGTACAATGTCCTAGAATGTACTCCCAAATATTACCTGAATTGGTATACCTTTTTGTTTTTGTGGCACACACTTACTGATTATGGTATTAATATATATGGGGGATGCCTTTGCTTGTGAAGAAGAAAAATCTTGTTTGTGCTTTTATACGACTTTGTCTGTGATCTGTGTATCATAGTTGTTTGTGAAGAAGAAAAATCTTGTTTGTGTTGTTATCCGCTCTTACATCCTCTTAAAATATTTTTAATAACTACTTTATGTAATTAATAACTAAAACTTTTATTACTTTGATTACCACTAGAGCCCATGTGTAATTTTGAGGTGATCAATAAGTTTACAGATTATTAGTTTAATCTTAAAAACTAACTAGTTGTATAAAAACTACTAGTATATGTAATCCAACTGTCTATTGTGCGTCTGTGAAGAAGAAAAATCTTGTTTGTGCTGTTATATGACTTTGTCTGTGATTTGTGTCGTAGTTGTCTGTGAAGAAGAAAAATCTTGTTTGTGCTGTTACGTCGTCCATGGCCGCCGCCGCCGGTTCTCTGTCACGTTCAGCCGCCGCTGCCGGTTCTTCCTCAACACTTCAGCCGCCACTGCCGGTTCTTCGTCAATTTCAGCCGCCACCGCCGGTTCTCCGTCAACTTCAGCCGCCACCGCCGGTTCTCCCTCAACTTCAGCCACCAAAATCTATTGATTCCATTGATTTTGAAGCTTGTTATGCGTTGAGGTGTGTTGCGGGTACAAGAAAGGACGACGCGGGAGGGAGTGGGGGAAGAGAGGGTGGGTTGTATTTGCGTGTAAGGGATGGAGAGGGGTAAAAAAATGGTAATTTTTGGGCCTATTTATAGTGTGTAGGTGTGTGTATAAGTTGTGTGTACCCCAAGCCCAATCGATCATCATCATATGATAGTCCTATATTGAAATGTGCCTCTTTTTACCTCGATTTATAAAACAACATTAAGTCTGGAGACAAAGATTAGTATAAAATGGAGTTATCAATATATTCCAATATTAGAATGCTCTGACAAGCTACCTTCTAACACGTTATGTATATCATTCGGAAACCAAAAATAAATAAAACAAAAAGACTTTCCACAATTCCTTTACCCTCCTTGTGACTTATTCTTTGTTGATCAAGATCTAGCAGTAGGGTTATTGAATCCTAAACTTTGAAAATTGAAAGTTTATTAATGGTTTTCATTTTTCTCATAATGTAAAAGAAAAAAGCTTTTTAGCTAGCCTTTTAAAGTAGACAAAGGTTTGATGTTCGTAAAAGGATCTTTACATAGTCTAGAAGGGACCGACAAATGCTTTTTAATATTCTACAATTCTTAAAAACTTTTATCATTGCATTGTGTTTTTTTTCGTAAAGCAAAATGATAAGTCAACAATAATTTCTAAGTCAGTCATTGTTTGATAAATTTACGATGGAGTTAGGGTGTTGTCATTTCTGAGCATGCATCGATCAAGTATTTAATACTCCGTATAAAATTTGCAACTATATAATTAATGATTTTACCGCATAGGAAATGCTTTTGCAAATTATATCCTACCATCAGGTTTACCTGTACGGCTGTACACACGATAGTTTTGTGATATACGGAGTATTTGAGCTTTGAGCCTTTTAATAAACTTTAAACTATAATTTTAAGATAAAATTTCACTAATATTACTTAATTTAAGAATGACAGACAAAAATGTGACTTGGTAACTTTTAGTTACTACTATTATGTTCAACGTTACTATGATGTAGTGACCATTATATAACTTTGGACACAATTATAGTAACTATAAGTTACCAAGTTACATTTTTGTTCATGAATTTTGTATTAGTAATATTTTAGGGAAAATCTCTAATTTTAATTTATCAAAATGGGAATTATAAAATATCCATATGATTTAACTTCCACCTTCCTTCTTTTTTTATAACTTAAATATTTCTTTAAATTTTTCATTATAAAATCTTTTAGATATCAATTTTTTCTATTTTTCATTTTAAGATAAATGTTTATTAATTTAGTAAATTTGTGTGCTAATTATACTGTGTACATGCTAACATGAGTTTTGTGTTATAGTAAAATGAGTATAGTGTTTAAATAATTGTGGATGAGTAAAAAAGGGATTTTTATGTGCTCCTGATACCATGTGATATATTGGAATAAGCTATTCATATAGGAGCTCTGACTAATATATTTATAATAGGAGAATAATTTCAATTACGTACATAACTATCCCTAACATGTACTCCGTATATTATTAGAAACGTGTAGGTGTAGCGTCCTCGCTAAACCCTACTTGCCCACATGCAGCCAACATCCGACGTTGCCTCCTCCGTCTTGGAACCTGTCACCAGATCAGAGCCAGCTTCCATGGTCATCCCAACATCATCTGGAACGGCGATGACTTTACCACTTCTTTGGTGTCGGAACCTCTCTTGATGGTTTCACAACACACCTTCTCTCCCATGCACTCGTCGTTTCAAAAGGCACACTTGGAGTGATACTGTTAGGTCCCCTAGATTTTGATGATTAAATGTAATAGTTTTGATGATGTCACCCCTTTTCATTATTCCTGTATTAGACTAGTCTACTAGTTATGTTCTACTTTGTTTACTTGTAATGTGCTCCATATTTAGTGGTAAAGTACTCATAAAAAGCAAAGAGTACTAAAAAGAGAAGTAACGAAAGAATTAACTGGTATTCATTGAAAAGGAAGCCTACAGGAAAACCTAGATTTCAGTAGCCAGCTGATTTTTTGGCAGCCAGCTGAAAAATGGAAATCCAGTCAAGGCATCTAAAATCCAATTTTCTATTCTTTTAGAAATTCATTATCAACCACACCATAACAACTTTTTGAGAAATTAAAATAACAATTCTCTAATTTTTATTTTTTGTGGTACATATATTGTTATGTGGTAATAATAGAAGGAGAACGTACGTTGTTATGTGATGTATTTATGTATATTGTGTACTTTTACAATTTTTACTTTTACGTAACGGAATTTCCTTAAGAACCGTGTGTCCAACATGTAACAATTTATGGATCCATTCATTTCCAGTCCACAAAATGTCAATCATGTTTTCTGACCCGCTCATTTTGTGCCTAACAAATGTCACACAATTTCAGCTAGTGTAATGTGCATGGTTTCTTCTCAAACTTAGGCACTCCTCTCTCATCCGTATTCGATTCTTCTCATAAAAAATGACTATCTTGAGTAATTTCCTTTTCATTACTTTTTTCTACCTTGTGTGTTTGTTAACCATAACAAATGCTGAAGTGATTGATTCTCTCCCCGGGCAACCTTCAAAAAATGTTTCTTTCAAGCAACATTCGGGTTACATCGTTACAGATGATGATCATGGCAGGGCTTTATTTTACTATTTTGCCGAAGCACAATCGAAGAACAAACTTTCACTTCCTTTAACACTTTGGCTTGGCGGAGGTAATTTTACACGTTTTTATGGTAGAATTTTTTATTTGTTTCTCTCTAAATAACGCTCTCACAACACAGGTTAAGAACCAAAACGGTTTTTTATATGGTAGATCGAGCTTAATTTCCACTTTTTACACATTTTAATGTTGAACTTGTCTTAAATTCTATTGTATACAAGAACTATTGTTGGCTTCTCAACCAATGTTGTGAGAACACTAGATCGATGTGCGCATTTGCAACACCGCACCCTCCAAATTAAACACTTACACTATCATTAAAGTTGTGACCACATATCTTTTTTATACATTCTATACCCATATTCTTCCGTAGAATGTAAACATCTATTGGATGATAAAAATTTATATAGTTTTCATCATGCAATATATGTGGCCAGTAGCTACAAAATATCGTACAAATGTTTTTTTGATGCCCTCACTTTGCATATATATTATACATGCATTAATAACTCACATCGATGGGTCTTTATACAATTACATGTGATATGTAAACAACGGTAAAACCGTAAAATTTATTCATATACTCTCACCATCCAGTAAGTAAGTTCCAGCATAACCTACACATATATGTAGGTACTCTTTTGTTATGACTTTTTATGTATACACATACTCTAGAGTGATATAACTTTTGTACTTTAAACAAATTCATTACGACTTTTTAAAAAGTAATTGCAATACTTACATTTGTTTAGCAAATATTTTTCTATCCATTCAAGAAAGAGATAACTTTATTTTGTGACATTCAAAAGAAAGTAAGATTGTTTTTGGATGGAGGTAGTATATTCTAAGAGTTAGAGGTGTTTATTGACCAATTGATAATTAAGAGAGTCATCCATTCATTTCAGCTTTCGGGTGCACTTCCCTCGGAATTGGTGTATTCTTGGAACACGGTCCATTTAGGCTCTCAAAGCATGACAAATTGATAAAGAATGAGTACTCTTGGAATTTAGGTACCGTTTCCTATCGATGACAAATGATCTGCTTGAGTATTGCTACTTGATTTTTATGAAATTCGATCCCTGTTTTAAGTATCTTGATCTTGCAATAATGTGCAGAATCCAACATGTTATACGTAGACACTCCAATCGGAGCTGGCTTTTCGTACTCAAATACAAGTTCAGACTACGCCGTTTGGGACGAGCCCAAGTCAGGTGAGTAATAAAGTTAGTCACACAAAACTTTTCAAAAAGGAAAATGGGAAGAAGTTTTTGGTACGTCCTATAAAGGTAAGTGGGAAGAATTTTAAGGGACGAAGAGAATACACACACACATATAGAGAGAGAGAGAGTAATCTTTCGGTACGTCAGGTCTTCCTGACCAGAACCACCATCCGGACGACGGCGTTTGGGGCCCTTCCATCAAGTCTAGTTTATCCACACAGCAAATCCAATTTTTGCAAAGAAGAAACATTTTGATTTATTTACAAAAATGTCACCGAGTTTTTAACCCAAATTAATATATTTTTGACACATTTAGAGCCATTAGATCTTAGATTTGATGCACCGGATTTATTCCTACTTTTCATGGGAAGGAGACTTTTTACTTGATCTACAATATGTGTGTGTACACACATACATATACATATTTATATACATACATACATACATACATACATACATACATACATACATACATACATACATACATACATACATACATACATACATACATACATACATACATACATACATACATACATACATACATACATACATACATACATACATACATACATACATACATACATACATACACATACATACATACATACATACATACATACATACATACATACATACATACATACATACATATATATACAGCGGCGGACACAGGATTTCCCGACAGGAGGGGCGGCAGTAAAAGAATATACATACAAATACATATCCATTAAGAGATATTACCCGAAATAGGACAAGAAGAGTTTGAAAATTCCAAAATAGGACTGCCATGTTTTTATTCCCAAAATAGGACTAATTACTTCCATGTTTTGGCAGTATCAGACCTTAAATATGACAGTATTTTCCAAACTTGGCAGTAATTACTCCTATTTTGGGAATAAAAACATGATAGTCCTATTTTGGAATTTTCAAACTTTTTTAGTCCTATTTTGGGAACTTTCCCATATATTAAAAATTTCGGAGTAAATATACTTAGAAATATTTTTTCCCAGAGGAGCGGTTGCCCCCCATAGCCCCCTTTGTGTCCGCCACTGTATATACACACATATATGAATTATTTAAATAAATCACACTCATCCTGTTGAGTACTACAATACACCGCTAATAAGTGACCATCTACTATGCATAAGATTGGTACATATCATTATTCTCAATTTATTTATTTTTGAAGTAGCTAATTGTTTACTACATCTGATTGGTCTAACTTGACGAGGTATAGTGCTTTGGAGGTACCGTAGATTTTACCCTGTAAAAATAAAAATATTTGAAGTATCTATATTATTAGAACATCATTGTGTAAAATTTTGATAGTGTAATTATTAAGAATATTTTAAAGTAATAACATTATACAACCCACATACATACACAAGTGGAAACGAAAAAATATAGGTTCACAACTTCTTATTTCTGAAGCAGCCATTTATATGGGAAATAATGTGATTAATATATACGAAGTATTGATTCTTTAGTATCTAGATTAATTATAACTCCTTGATTTATAAGTAATTATATTCATCTATATATCTATAGTCTTTATGGTACATATGGTGAGATGAGACGTATTTAAAAATCTTTAAAGCACAACAAACATCAAGCTTAGACACATTTCATAATTCATAAAGTGTGAAATGTTTTTTCATAATAATTATGTATACTTAATACCCTAGAGATAGTATTGCGTAATGTATATAATAATTATCATAATTATTACTAAATAATATGAGATTGTAATGTAATACTCCGTATTAATTTCTAATTGTTACTATCTTCATTAGACAAGATAAGTTATTAATTTCTAATTGTTACTATCTTCATTAGACAAGATAAGTTGCGGACGGAAAAATTATTTACTTGGTAATCTATACGTAATATTAATTAGTATATCTCTAATATTTATCATACATGTATTCCAATACAATTTTATATTATGTTTCAATTTTTATTCAATAAGTATGTATATGCACATGCACATTACTCATGAAATGAAATTATTTTCAAAAATAAATTTATTTCATCTATTATCCATGCAACACATTGGTCGATTGGCTAGTGTGTGTAGGTGTGTGTAATTAGATAATGCTCTTTTAATTTTCTTTACACTCTCTCCCTTTGCAGCTAATGACAATATGAAGTTTCTGCTTAAATGGTTTGACAAATTTCCTCAATATAGAAAACAAGATTTTTACATTGCTGGGGATGCTTTTGGAGGTTAGCATCTGTCGTAATATCGTAATATATAATACATTTTTCGATCTCTAATGCATGTTGGCCCTGTTATAAAGTTGGGAAATTTCTATGACTAAAACATATTGAAATTCCCTAAATATGACTAGATTTGCTTTTAGACATTCATCTGACAAAAAAGAAACAAAAAAATCTTGTAATATTTAAATGTTGAAAGACAAAAATACTCTTATTTGAAATATACATTTTGAACTACTTTCGTCCAATAAAAATATTGCACTTTATGCAAGCGTTACTGAACGCCATTACTGCACTTTATGCAGGCGTTATTGCACGCCATTGCTGCACTTCATGAAGGCATTACTGCATGACATTATGAAAATGATAGAAATTTATTGTTCTTTTTTCTTTTAAGATATGATAGCTATAGTTTTACATCGGATTAAATATGTGGTTTTTTTTCTTTTTATATTTCACATTATGCTAGCAATAATGCACTTCATTTCGGCGTTATTGCATGACATTAAGAAAATGTTAGAAGTTTATGATTATTTTTTACTTTTTATTAGATTTGATCACTATATTTTTTATGTCAAATTGAATATAATGCACTTTATATCAGCGTAATGTTCTACATCACAACACTTTTTGACATAACCACTGCATTTCTTGTTATATTCTCTACATTAAATAACAAGTGTATTCACTGTGTTCACCACTCATTGTCCTAAAATTCACTGCACATTGTCTTCAATCATCTTCAACATTGGGTCCATCTTCAACCTCAGTAGCCTTAGCTTAGTTGAAGAATCTGAGTTGTCGGAGCGGTGGTTCACCGTTGTTCTTTGGGACACCAACCCTAACTTCAAGAGATATGAAACGTAAGAAAGAGGAGGAGGAGGAGGAGGAGGAGGAGGAGGAGGAGGAGGAGGAGGAAAGGAAGAGGAAGGGAAAGGGGAAGAGAAAAAGGAAGAGGAGGAGGTTGGAGTCAGGCGGGCAGCGAACGGTTGGAGGTTGAAAGCTAGCACGCGGCAGGAAGAAGACACGGCCACACGGGTGAGCGGCTGAAAGCAGACGGCGGACGGTCGGTTTGTTGGTAGTGGATTGGCATTTGGGTGACTAGACGTTGGAGGCGGCTGGTAGGGTGACTCCAAGAGAGATAGCGAATAGCGTACGTAGAAAGTAAGGGTTTTATATAATATGAGGTTAGGGGCATATTAGCACAGATATATTATTTATTGATTTTTTTGTTAAATACATTATTTAAATATTACCAATTAATATTTTTTGGGAGGGAAACTAACTAGATCCTAGATTGGGAAAGTGAGGGAATTTTAGTCATACTTAAGATATTTATTTCTTATTAAGTTTTATTGTATTTAAAGATAACTTTTTTTAAAAAGCAAATTGGAATTTACATATTAAGAAGTTACACTAAAACGAAGTTATATTATAGAAAAAATGACATGTATATTACTAATAGAGTTCTCCGGACAAAAATATGACTAGTTATAGTTTTGGACAAAAACATGATTAATCGATGTGCATGAGCCACTATGAACTAGTCACTTTAGTGTATTTTAGAATGACAAATCACTGTAGATGACGGGTCACTGTAGATGATGAGTCACTGAGAACTAGTCACTAAAAATGTCAATTTTTGGAAAATTTTAAAAAAGTCGCATATTGTCTTTTGAATTTAATTTAGTACTACCTCCGTCCCACTTAGATTGGGACAAGAGAATGTGGCACGATTATTGGGTTTATGTGCTTGATATTAAATTGATAAAGTAAGAATGATTTAGAGCCACCCAAACTTTACCAAATTTGGTATGGGACAATCTTAGTGGGACTTCCCGAAAAGATAAAATGGGACAATCTTAACGGGACGGATGGAGTAATATTTATGGAAAACATATTATTCAAACAAAAAGAACGCTAATAGTTACTCCCTCCGTCCCGAAAAGGTTCGCCAACTTTGACTTTCACGTGGATTAATAAAGTAAAAATTGTGTGGTTGAAATTTGTGCAGAGGAGAGAGAATTAACTTTAGCCATCTTTAAATGGAAATGGCAAATCTTTTTAGGACATCCAAAAAAGGAAATTTGGCAAACCTTTTTGGGACGAGGGAGTAATAGATAGTGTGGGTTAAAAAAAAGGAGTCATCTATTTATTAATTTAGAATACTTCCTCTATTAACATGCATATATTGTATTGCAGAACTGAATATGGTGATAATTTGATTCACAGAATTTAAGATTCAAAGGGAGTTGGATAATTTTGGGTTGACCGCAAAATAGTGATAGTAACTTAAAATCGAGGTGGAGTTAATATGGAAGATTTGTTGTTTTAGGGGGCGTTTGGAGCACCAAAAATAGGCTTATAAGCGTGATTGAGCAAAAATTCACCAAACACCAATGAAATTGGTTGCTTGAGATGTTTTTCTTATCAGCTGAAAAAGGAAGTATTCAGTTACTTTTTGGGCTGATATTTATTATTCTACCTTTAACAATTGCAAAGACCCTTTACCCCATAGAGAGATCAACGTAAGAGTGCCGAAAAAATATCCCAAAGCCCTTCTCATAATTGGCTTGCTCACTTGCTATGATTTGATTTTTCCTCTTGTAGAAAATCACCAAATTTCTAAGCATAAAAAAAATGCGTAATTTTAAGCATAACAAAAAAGCATATAAGTAATTTTAAACAAAAGAAATCTGGTGTATTATGGATGTGTGTTTTGACGAAGAAATGAGGAACCCCAATTTTAAGCAGCAATTTTAAGGAAAGCATTAGCATATACTAGTACTATCTATAACAATTTAAAATTTCGATCATATCCCTTATGGTAATTTTTACATTCAATCAACCATTTCAGTCAATATATTACCAAACAATTCCACTTCAGTAAGTTCAACCTTTCAAGTATTTTCAACCATTTAAGCCATTTCAGATGTTACCAAACAGACCCTTAGTCTTGTAACTTTTGATCATGTTCTTTATTACTTGGCTTCTATAAATTTACATACTTACAGATTTGATCGTGTATAACTAATAAAAGTGTCAATGTTAATAAGTATTTTTCCTTTAGTTTACACTTTTACAGTATATAAAAGATGAACAGTAAAGTATTACGGGCGTCTATTTCTCCATTGGAAATAGTATATACATTCTAATAGAAATGTCCTTGACATCAACACATTTATTACTTTATTAGTTACATGACTATGTGTGATTTCCCAGAGTAGTATTAATAAATACTCCGTAATAAGATAAACTTGCATTGAAGTCAAATAATGAGCTTGTTTATCCAGAATTTGTACACAAAATTGTTTCAGGTCATTTAGCACCACAGCTAGCAGCTGTTATACTTGAATACAATGCAAATTCACATGGGAAGCCACCTATCAAGCTTAAGGGAATTGCTGTGAGTCCCACTTAATTTCTTATTTATTTGATGAATTGATTCTTTCAATATAACATGCATATATAAAAGTGTATTTATTTAATTTGTGCATGTTTGTTTAATTCCCCCCTATTATTATCGCTTAATATCAATCAGCTTGGGAATCCAGTTCTGGATATCAAGTACAGTTTATCTTATGTTGAAAATCTGTGGTACCGGGGAGCAATCTCAGAAGAAACGTTCCATATGCAAAAGACGCTTTGTAGCATGGGAACCTATTTTACTGAGCTGGCTCTTGGAAATGTGACTAAACAATGCAATAAAATGATTGAAATTTTGAACAACGAGGTTGGGGATATAAATATGGACAATATGTTGTCGCCACCTTGCCTCTCTACCGAATATGTTGGAAATGTACGTACTCTACTCCCCCATTTCTATTTAAAGTTCCTCCGAGGAAGTATATATGTTTGCTTCATGCCTTCACATGATAGGATTTTTATAGTCCTCTATGTTTAAAGAAAAAAAGAATAAAAATTTCCAAAATAGGAATGCAAAAGTTATATTTGGAAGAAAATAAGTTTACTCTTTTTGAAAAATTATGTTATCTTTTACTCATATTTAGGGAATAAGTGCTTTCATCCTGAAACTATTATCTACACTCATGTCATGACACTATTGTTATCTTAATGCCCAATAATATCATATTATGATTGTAAAATTTCATGATAAGAGTAGTTTATTCGAGGGGCTGCCATGGAGGCATTTTGCCTAGACAAGTGTCTAGAGCCCTAATTCATAGGGCCTCCGAATTAAAGAAAATATTAGTATTATATATGTACATGTAATTTAAATTGTAGCTAAATTTGAATTCTCAAATAAAATCAATCGGTTCAACCTATGAACAAGAACAACACACATTAGAGGCAAATCATCGTAAATAATATTACTCCGTATAAATTAAAATTGTACTCCTATTAAATTTAATAAGCGAAAGAGTTATTCGGTCTGGGTCAATATTAATTTATTTAGTCATTCTATTTTTGCTTTATTGGTGTATTGGCACTTTGGTATGTGGCTGCCTAAAATGTTGAAGTACTTATTAAAATAATTTTATATGTGGTCGATCAGAACTATGGTCATTTTGTTTTTTGTTTTTTGGAACAATTAGGAGTCACATAATGTCAAAACATGACAGTAAATTTTCAGAATGGTTATGACACACTTCTTTTTAGCTATATTTAAATAACCGACTCGGACTGGCCGGGTGGACCCGGAACTCGGTGACCCAGACCAAAACTCGGTTCGGTTAGTTAAAAAACCGAAAATTACTAAAAATTGAAAGGAAAAAAAAAACAGTTTACCCGGGAAACACGGTCCGGAACCTATAAAAAAACATCGACACTTTTTTCATTTTTAAGAATTTTTTAACCTATAAAATTGCAATTTAAATATCGTAAGAAGATAAAATATTTACTATATTCATATATTTATGTAAGAACGAAAATCATGTCAAATTATATTACTACGTATGTGTACAATACAAATAACAAATATCAATGCACTCGTATATTTTAATAGAATCAAAATTGCATTATGGAATATTATGAGACTTGAGAGTGTTTTGAAATGCTTAATAAGTATTATCATTAGTTGATTATTATGAATAAAAATTTTATTTTATTTTTGAACATAATTATATGTTTGTTATTTTTATATGGTCGCATAATTGTTGACCGAGCTTTCGGCAGTGACCGGGTTGACCTGTGACCCGGTCATGTGGCCGGGTCGTTTTCCAATCCGTTTTTTTAAATGTAGCTATATAGGGAAGAAAAATGTGAAACTTCTATTTTACCATTCTTAAACGTTTTTACTCATATTTCGGGAACTTTACCAAAAATTTAACAACTCTATTCCTAACCACGTGAAAATTGTAAATTTGTAACCCTCTTCCGAGTACAAATGCACGAAAAGAGTGAAAACCAATTGAAGCATTTGGAATGATTTTAAGCCGATCGTATCATTTATCAATTAAGGTTTGTTGGCGTGTTTTAGGAAGCTAGAGACACAAGTATTACCGATCCTTGCATTGATGAGAAGCTAGATACGTACATGAACAACCCACAAGTTCAAAGAGCTTTACATGCCAATTCCACCGGCTTGCCATATTCATGGAACATGTATTGTGAAGGGTATGCATCTAGTTCTACATTTAGAGCTCGTTTGGTAGTTTACGTGTTAAATCTTTGCACACGAAATGATTGCATGCAAAGTTTATTAGGGAATCAATCACTTTACATGTAAAATACGGAGTAGATTATATTGTTTGGTCATATGTGTAATTTATTTTTAATTTGCACGCAAAAGCGTTGCAGTACTTTATAAAAAAACATGCAAAGTATTTTACCCTCTCCAACAACATAACATGCTTTACATTAAATTAAATTATCCAACCAAATAATGTAAATTTTTTACATTCCTACACTTCGCATGCAAAATAATTATTTTATCTCATATTGAACGCTCTCTTAATAAGAAATTAATGCATATAAATTCCAAAATAGGAGTAAAAAGTTATGAGTATGCAAAATTGCCAGTACATGAAAGTCAACTCTATCCTGCCTCCGTTCCCGGCTCGGCAGCTCCTTCAAGTGAACCCTAGAAAGACGAACCCTAAATTTGAGGTGTTTCGTAGACTCTGATCTGAAATGTAACTCTTAACTCTACATGGTAACAAATAATAATAATTGAAAATTTTATTTTTGGTAATTTGAAACATGCACTCCTATTTAACTATTTTGACATTTTTGTCATATTTTACTCCTATTTCAGTTAATTAATTTCTTAATGAAGGAATACTAGTGTGTGTTAGTGTTTATTATGAACATGCATACATGCAGGGGTACCGATTATGAGCACTTAGAAATGTTTGCTCATGACGTCATACCCACCGTGTCAGCACTTCTGAAGAGGCATATCCGAGTTATGCTTTACAGGTTACTAATTAATTCTTTCTAAAATATGTACTCCATATGCTTTTATAGCTCTTTTTAGAACGACTAAATAAAAGAGTCATTATAACCTAAAATCGAAGTTAATTATAATATTAACATTTGTATAAATAAGAATAATATATTTTGCAGTGGAGATCAAGATTTAATGGTAGCTGTTACACAAACCAGGAAAATTGCGAGCAAGCTTGCAAGAGACTTGAAGCTCAACACTTTGCACAACAATCGGCCTTGGTATAATGGCAAGCAGGTAGTTTTACGAAACTGGTCATATTAAGAAACCATGAAAAGTAGAAATAGTATCAGAATCCCTCTTTGAGAAATTGATCTCCACCAGCTTTAATTTTAAAAACTGATTCTGTGTAAAATTTTGAGCACCAAAAAATACTTTTGCACTTTTACTTAAACACTACTATAATATTTTCTTCTGGTATATGAAGGAAGAGAAGCAGTTTGAATAAGAGCGGATCCAAACACTCCCATAATATGGAGGGGCGGACCCAGAAATATATTAATCATGGATGAAATGGATTTAAGATAATTTTATTAGCAGAGTTAAATATGAATAATGAAAAAAAAAATTGAAAAATTAAATTATATTGTCATTGGTTTGAGGCTTTCAGCCACTGCACATATCCTCACATAAATTTTCCCTTAATAATATGTAGTATTGATTATTGAGCTTGATTAATTGGCCTAATGCTTGTTTTAACTCTAGCTATATTCTTGGGGTCTTATCTAAGTTTTAAGTTCGGTTTGTTATTGTAAAATATTGGAAGAAGATATGGAGAATTTTCGTTTATTCCTGCTTGTTTACAAAACGGAGATCAAGTCTCCATATATACAAAACGCATGCTCCAGTTCTCCCAAGAACGTAGCTGCCCATGCGTGACTTAAGGAGAAAGAAAAGGAAAGTAAATCAATCAAATACAACATTCCTATTCTACATTAACTACTACGTACAACGCACAGAACGTAACAACAAAAAATATGTACATAAAATTGAAAATAATGTGACTCAACACCCCCCCTCAAGATGGAGCATGGGGGTCATAAATGCCCATCTTGCCAAGTAGATAAGAAAACTGATGAGCTCCAAGGGCCTTTGTAAGCAAGTCTGCAGGTTGTTCCGTGGTAGGTGTGTAAGCCGGAGTAACAGTACCAGCTTGAATATGATCTCGTATAAAATGACAATCCAGCTCAATGTGTTTGGTTCGCTCATGATAGACCGGGTTAGAAGCAATATGTAGTGCGGCCTGATTATCACAGTAGAGCCGAGCCGGACTGGTGTGATTAACTCCTAGCGAGCGAAGGAGATTTCGGAGCCAAATAAGTTCACACGTCAAGGAGGCCATGGATCTGTACTCTGCCTCTGCAGATGAGCGGGATACTGTGGCCTGTTTCTTGGTGCGCCACGACACTGGAGAGAAACCCAGAGATACAAAATAACCAGTAACAGACCGACGTGTAGTCGGGCAGCTAGCCCAATCAGCATCACAGTATCCGTGGAGAGAGAGAGGTGAGTCAGACCTCAACAAGATGCCCTGCCCAGGCCGGCCTTTAAGGTATCTGAGAACCCGAAGTATAGCTTCCCAATGAGCCACTCTGGGTTTTTGCATAAACTGTGAAAGAATATGAACAGAATAACAAATATCTGGCCTGGTTAGTGTTAAATAAATCAGCTTCCCAACTAGTCGTCGATAGCGCTCAGGATCAGGAAAATAGGAGCTAGAATCGGACTGCAGATGATGATTTTGCACCATAGGAAAGGTAACCGGTTTGCATCCGGTCAGCCCTGTTTCAGCCAGAATGTCAAGCACATATTTCCGTTGACACAGAAAAATTCCTGTAGGATTTCGGGCGACCTCAATTCCAAGAAAATATTTCATCACGCCCAAATCCTTAACAGGGAAAATGGCGGCAAGATATGTTTTGAATTGCTCAATCATTGTGTGATCATTGCCGGTTATCAGCAGGTCGTCTACATAAATGAGTACACAAAGTATGCGGGTATCCCTTTGGATAGTAAACAGGGAATAATCAGCGTGTGATTGTGTAAACCCATAGCGCCGCAAGGAGGCAGTCAGTTTAGAGAACCAACACCGCGGTGCCTGACGTAAGCCATAAAGTGAACGAAGTAAACGACACACCTTCCCAGGGGAGGAGGCCGAATATCCCTGTGGGAGGTGCATATATACTTCTTCGTGAAGGTCGCCGTGGAGGAAAGCATTATCTACATCCATCTGATGTAGTTCCCAATGACAAGATGCTGCGACAGCCAGGATGGTACGTACTGTGACCATTTTGGCTACCGGGGCAAATGTTTCACTGTAATCGACACCCTCCACCTGTCGATTTCCACAGACCACCAAACGTGCCTTGTACCGTTCCACCGAGCCGTCACTTTTGTATTTGATTTTGTACACCCACTTGCAGAAAATAGCTTTCTTCCCGGGGGGCAAGTCTTGAATCTCCCACGTACCAGTGCGTTCAAGTGCTTGTATCTCACTACTCATAGCAGCCCTCCATTGTGGATCACGAACCGCTTCTCGAAAGCTAGTGGGCTCCTTAGTGGTGGAGATAGCTGCAAGAAAAGCTCGGTGCGGCACCGAAAAATGATCATATTTTATATAATGAGAGAGTGAATAAGGAGTACCTGATTCGGGTGCGAGAGAAGGGGCGACAACGGGGGGAGAGTTTATTTTAACCGTGTTCATCCGCACATCATAGTCCTTATGCCATACTGGTTCCTTACGTGGGCGATCGCTCCTTCTATTTTGACGTGGGGTAGTATTCGGTTCAGGCTCCTCAAGGTTACTATTGGCTTCGTCCACTGTACTGGTCAAAGGAACATGAGACTCCGTATTCACCGGGACTTCCCCACTGTTTGGCCGAGTTCCATGATGACCTTCTCCTTCTGTTTCATACGTGTAATCATCCACATGCATATGATGTTCCCATGCACATGAACCATGTCCTGCTTCTTCATTAGTTTTAGTTTCGGTTATAGAGTCTTCAACTGCAAAGGGAAAGTTATCTTCCACGAACTTAACATCTCGAGAAATGAAATGTCTCTTGCGCTGCAAATCATAAACTTTCCACCCCTTTTGAGAATATGCATATCCCAGAAAAACACACTTAACACCACGAGCAGCAAATTTATCACCTCCATTATTGGATTCATGTGCATAGCATAAACATCCAAATACTCGGAGTTGACTATATAGCGGTACTTTATTATATAGTAACTCATAGGGACTTTTATTATTTATCACAGGTGAAGGCAGACGATTGATCAAATACCCTGCGGTCAAAACACATTCCCCCCAGAAATTAATGGGCAAATTTGCATGAAAGCGTAAAGTTCTAGCCATTTCCAGAATATGTCTATGCTTTCGTTCTACTCGCCCATTTTGTTGAGGGGTGTATACACAAGATGTTTGAAAAATGATCCCATGTGTCAAAAAATATTCCCGTAGACCCACAAATTCTTTGCCATTGTCACTTCTTACAACCTTCACATTTTTATTAAACTGTCGACTAGCCATGACAAAAAATTGTTTAAGAATATTTTTTACTTCACTTTTCTCTCGCATGAGATGGACCCACACGGCCCTAGAAAAATCATCCACAATTGTCAAAAAATAACGAGCACCACACGTAGATAAAACTCGGTAAGGACCCCATATATCACAATGAATCAACTCAAAAGGTTCAGCAGCTCTAGCACTACTTGTAACAAATCTATCACGCGTGTGTTTGCCTCTCATACATGCATCACACGTTTTATTTTGTACGGAATTCAACAACGTTTTATTTAAACAACCAGATAAACGTAATATTTTTATCGATGGGTGTCCCAACCTCGAATGCCACAAATTTCCCAAATCCAAACTGCTCACCGCATTTGCCTGTGCCTGATCCAGATCCCGGAAATAATAAACTCCCCCACGTCGTTCACCCACTCCAATCGGCATCCTCGTAGGTAGGTCCTGTATTACACATAAATCATTAGTAAAAAATATGTCACATTTCCGGTCATCAATTAATTTTCCCAATGAAATTAAATTGCATTTTAGCCCTGGAACGAGCAAAACATTTTTTAAAATCAAGCTTCCCCCAATTGCACTTGTCCCTATGTGCGTGGCCTTGGTGACTTCACCATTTGGCAACGTCACGCCTACTGGTGCTATGCGAACCATGTCCATCAGAATGCTTTTAGTTCCAGTCATATGATACGACGCTCCGGAGTCAAGGAGCCAGTCGTTTTGAACTTCCATACCTGATAATTTTTCTTCCGACGCTGTCATCTTACAAGTTTCCAACATCTTGAGGAAGGTCTGCCATTGAGCATCGGTAAAACCTGGCCTGTGTGCTGCCTCGTTTCCTTGCTCTGGATGAACCTCAGGCTGGAATTCACCCACATGCATTACCTGCGCACCTCCGCGACCAGTCCCTCGCCCGGTTCCTCCACGTCCCGAGCCTCCGCCACGGTTCGGTACTCCGCGACTCTGTCCTCCACGAGCACTTCCCTGCGTGGTCTCTGCGACCATTGTGTCGTCGTCCGAGCGTGTTCGGCAGGTCCCGAATCACCGCTCTGATACCATGTAAAATATTGGAAGAAGATATGGAGAATTTTCGTTTATTCCTGCTTGTTTACAAAACGGAGATCAAGTCTCCATATATACAAAACGCATGCTCCAGTTCTCCCAAGAACGTAGCTGCCCATGCGTGACTTAAGGAGAAAGAAAAGGAAAGTAAATCAATCAAATACAACATTCCTATTCTACATTAACTACTACGTACAACGCACAGAACGTAACAACAAAAAATATGTACATAAAATTGAAAATAATGTGACTCAACAGTTATGTTCTCAATCCTTCGTCTCTAGTCTCAATAATTATAATGTCTCTCTTCTTTTACAACTCACAATTGTGTAATCCTAGAAAACTACGTAGTATAAACTGTTACTGTTGCACTTTTGTGTTCTACTTTTAGTTTGGGAGTAGGGAAATTTCTCGAAATTAGAGTGATAACAATATACGGAGTAATATTCTAATTTCTAGCTAAAACGTAACAAGAGTGCGTATTACATCTTTCACTACATATCATGATTAATAGTTTTTTCGAACATAAATTACTCTTATTAAGAGCGGAATATAGAACTCGATCCAAATTTTGCTATATCATATCATACTTCCTATTATTTTTATTCTAGGCCAATTTTGTTAGGAAATTTCTCTTATTATAGCCCAAACATATATCTATCCGTCGTGATTAGAATATAATTGATTGTTTTTTTAGATTGGAGGGTGGAGCCAAACATATGGAAGATTGAAGAAAGGTAAAGCAGTAATACAATTAACGTTTGCAACAGTAAAAGGTGGAGGAAATTATGTGCCATATTCATCTCCCTCCGAGGCTCTTATACTTTTCAAGGCATTTCTTAAGGGATCCCCACCACCAACCGGACCTAGCTAGCTAGCTATCTTGTGAGTGGATGCTACGAAAACATGTGGTCAATTTGTGGAAGTAAATAAATTAAGTAGGTTATTAATAGTTAATTAGTAATTAGTATATATAGTACTTCCTATAAACATTTCGCAGCTATGAAAATCTATCTGCATGCAATGGAACCAACGTAACGTCGACTAATACGTTCGTACTAATGCATTGTTAGAATTTTGATGGATTACAACATGCAAATTATAAAGAAATAAAGTTTAATATTATTAGCACCATTAAATTTGAAGAATAATTATGTGCTAATATAGAGGCACGCACAATTAACAAATACGGAGTATATTCTAAATTTGTAACACGATTGTGTTTAAATACGTAGTATAAGAATCATTCCTCAAAAAAAATAGAAGAATCAAATATGTAGTAGGATACCTAGTACTTCCTAAGGGTGATTTCCCAATATACGGGAAAAGGTTACATGGAGGGTTTCTGAAAATACGGGAGTCGGAACTGCTGATTCCGACTAGAGTTAGGTTTTCTTTTAATACGAAAAATTACTTCGGTCGGAATTTAGGAATCCGACAAGAAGTTTTTTTTATAAATGGGATAAAAGTCATAAAACCTCCTGTTGGAAGTGAGTAATCCGACCAGCATTCTTCTTTTTTAATTTTTTAATTATTCCACTTCATCTTTTTTAATTAGTCCACTTCGAATTATGTAAATTTGGGAAAACATAAATATTTATTTTATATTCTTTAAATAATTGCTCAAAATTGCCACTTTTTTAATAATTCCGAAACCATTTTATTTAAATTATTCCAATCATAATTCCGAACACATTTATTATATATCAAAATCAAAGTAAATTTTGAATTTCTTTAAAACAAATCATTCTTTTTTATGTAATACATTACTATTATAATGTACTATTATGAAATATTCTAAAAATGTAATACCGGATTAATACAGTGGACTACCGACTACTCTTACCTGATGATTTTTTTTTATGATTTTTTATCAGATAAATTTTATGTGATTTATTTTGTTTATATTTTACATAGTATTATAGATGGGTCAGATCCGATGGGGTTGAGTTTTTTTATGTGGATTGTTTTCGGTCTCAGGCGAGACCAGATTAGACCAGACTTAAACAGATCACATCAGATTAGACCAGACTTAAAAAGACCAGATCAGACCAAACTTGAACAATTCTAAAATACATAAAGATCAAACTTTACCAGACCACACCAGACTAGTTCAGATCAGACCAGACTGGAATTAAACAGACCGGTCAAAATAAGATCAGATTAGACCAGAAAATTAGATCAGACTGAAACAGCTTCCCGTTCAGTTTATGATGCTTGACTGATGATAAAGCAACTCAATCTATCCCTGTTCAAACTCAAATTATTTTTAGTAAATAAAATTTGCATATTCAGAAACTACATTAAAAAACCGCTACAAAGCCTGATAATGAAAACTTAAAATAGATAAAAATTTGATATATAAAGTACTACCCCCATCCCGAAAAGGTTCGTCAAATTGATTTTTCTTGGTCAATGGTTGCTAACTTTAGACAATGATTTCAATTATTATATTAGTATATAATTTATAAATTTTATACTTTTATGAAAATATTTTGAATAAGAAACATTTTGATATGATTTCCATACTCAAAATAATTTTGTGTTAAAAGATATCATTGGTCAAAACCGAATGTCATTGACCAAGAAAAGTTAATTTGGCAAACCTTTTGGGGACGGAGGGAGTAAAAGATTACGAGTTATTTAAGTTGGCCAATGAATAGTGAATGTGAAGTTAATTTTGGGACGGAGGAGTATATAATTTACATATTTAAACCAATATTTTAATAACAATTCAAAACGTAATATGAAAACCGATAATTTAATACTATCGTACATAAAAACGTAATACAATTCCCCCTCATATTAACTTTATAGAAACCAATACGTATTTTTATGAAAACGTAAATAAAGTATTAAAATTTCCTATTGTGTAGCAACTCTTTTCGAATTATTAATTCTCCACAACTAAAATTATTGGTCCACTAACTTTTTTAGCCACCCAGTCGGATCGAATTCTTTTTTCCAACCCACATTTTTGTTTTGAAAGACACCATTTTCGAAATGAACTTTCCAACATTTTTTAATCAAAAAATACTTCAGTTGGAATTGCCAATTCCGACTACAAGTTTGTATTATTTGTATTATTTTCTTTAATTTTTGCAGCCTAACTCCAGTCGGAAAGCCAACATCCGACTCCCGCTTTTTAGTACCCTAACTCGAACTCCCGTATTTTGGCTTGTCAGACAAAAAAAGCCCGTGATTTGGTCATTTCCCCACTTCCTAATAGACCAGAGAGATTTCCCAAAATAGAAGTAAATGGAGTTTGGAATTCCAAAATAGAATTATTACGGGTATATTTTTATTCTCGAAATATGACTGACATGACAGTATTTACTATCATCTTGTAGGCATGACGGCCAAATAATTGCACTACAATGCATTTAACATCGGAATATTTATTACTCATATAATTAATGGCAGTGTTTTTTGTCATGACAGTGTTTTTCATACATGACAGTAAGGATGTTTTTACTTGGACTGTAATTTGTTCCAGACTAGACCAGACCAGTCCAGACCAGACCAGTTCAGACCAGACTTGGATAGTTATAAAAATACAAAGAAACCAGACCTTACCAGACCAGACCAGACTAGTTCAGACCAGACCAGACCAGACCAGACCAGACCAGACCAGACCAGACCAGACCAGCAAATTACAGTCCAAGTAAAAACATCCTAACAACTCCTATTTCGTGAAGATAACATAGTAGTCCTATTTTGGAACTCCAAACCTCATTTACCCATATTTAGGGCAATTTTCCAATAGACAATATCTTATCAAATATTGAATATATCTTTCAAAAAAATCAAATATGGAATATATTCTTACTTAGATTAAAAATCTACATTTTAATTATTCATGCATCGTAGAGGACTATTGAAATAACTACTACTCCCTCCGTCCCGCTAAGATTGTTTCAGTTGATATTCACTTGGTCAACACAAATCACTCTTAGTATCTAACTTTATATAACAAATTTTTATCAAATTTAATTCTAATTTTTTGTGACTTCGTAAAACTTTTAATATAGTTTTTGAATATATAATTTTTTTCTTAAAAAATAATTTGAATGTGCATAATGATCTATTTGTTTTATCGTTGCTCAAGCATCATAAATTGTATTGTCTCATTCTTAGTGGGACGAAAGTGAGGGAGTATACTATACTATCTACTCGTATATAATAATTATAATGACATGACACACTTATGCATGCGGCACATTATATTTTCTAGAAAAGCTTCTCTATCACCCCCACACATATATAGATAGAAGTAGGGCTGCACAAAAATAACCCGAACCCGCATAACCCGCCCGACCGCACCCCACCCTACCCTATTTAATTGGGTATTTAAATTTAAAAAATATTCATGGGTTAAATATGTTTGAACTCGCACCTAATGGGTAGAGTCGCGGAATTAAAATCTCAAACCCGGTAGTACCCGACCCAAACGAAGTTCAATTTACTATTATTATGCTAAAATGTTTTCTTGGATAATTTCAATTTAAGACCAATGTGCTCTATCTAGGACTCTATGATATTAGAATTATAATTAAACATTTACCATTTTGACTGGGTGATTATTATATATTTATGTTTCCTTCTAAATGAACTTCCTTTATGGAAGAATGTTTAATACTATTACATAATGTTTTTGCTTATAAAAGATACGAGTATTTGTATTTGTTTGTGTGTTTTGGAGACAAGTTAATCAAGTTTTAAATTGGTCACATTAATTTTCCACATGAAGGATGCAACTCGAAGTGATTTTTTTCCAATACCCGACCCTACCCGACCCGTTCATGCATGGTTTACCAACTTATTTTTTTTTACCACGGGTTGGTTAATCGCCAACCCGAACAATTCGGGTAGGTCCGAAAAATATAGCAAACCCGACCCGATCCGCCCGATGTTCAACCCAACCGAAGCTCTCAAGTCAACTGTTCAAGTGCAGATCATACTAGTCTACAACTGGTTAGGGTTAAATTAAGGGATAGGTTAATAACTTATTATAAGGGGTGTTTGGAACTGGTTCTGCTACTGCTTCTTTTTTGAAGCAGAAGCAGAAGCAGAAGCAGAATCAGTTTTCAGAAGCTGGTCTCCCCAGCTTCTAAAAAAACTTATTCTAGGAGTAAATTAGAGCATCAGAATCACTTCTGCACTTTTACCTAAACACTCCAGCTTCTGCTCTCTGAAGTAGCAAAATCAGTTTTAAGAATCAGATACAAACACCCCCTTAGAGGAGCCCACCAATAGATCCATCCATGTTAAACCCTATGGGCATGTTTGAATTGAGAGTTTGAAGAGAAGGGGAAGGGAAGGCTTTGGAGGTATGTTATTGGAGGGAAAAGTGGGGAAGGGTGAGAAAGTCCTTCTTTGTATTTGGGGGTAATAAATTTGGAAGGAGAGAGTTTTTGAATGAATTATAATTAAAATGACTTTGAGATATGACGAATTAAAATAACTAAACTAATATTTATTATTAGTTGAGCTTAAATTATCATTTCGTTAATTATCATTCAAACCCTCCAAATTGGGGAACTCAAAAATTGAGCATGTAGAGGATTTTGGAGAGTCACAAAACCCCCCAATTCAAAATCATCCCCTCCAATTCTATAAACTCTCAAACATGAGATAAAGAATCATAAATCTCCATCAACCTTTCCCTCTCCTCCAAACCCCAACTCCCAAACACACCCTAAGGATTAAAAGGGAATGGAAAATCCTCTTTTATACTCTCCATTTAACATCGGAAGAAAAGGATTGTGTCGATATAAATAAGGATGAAGTATAGTTATCTAAACTTTATCAAATACGGTTTATATGAGACAAATTTAATGTAACAGACAAAAAATTTAAATAGAATAAAGGGAGTATAAGAATGTTTTTACTTATATTGTTTTTCAGTCACAGATCTGACCAGACTTAAACAGACCACGCCAGACTAGACTTGACTTCCATAGTTATAAAATACACAGAAACCTGACGTTTACCAGACCAGTTCAGACCGGACTCAAACAACACAGACTAGAACATACTAAATCAGTGAATTAGGATCCTTTTACTTGGAGTGTTTTCAGCCCCAGACCAGACTTAAAAGACCAGACCGGACTTATAAAGACCAGAGCAGACCAGACCAGGCTT